CAGCCCCGGCCGCACCCGGCCGCCAGGGACCGCGGACCCGGCTCTGGCTCCCCAGGCCCTCAGGAGCCGGGCTGGCCCAGGGAGCTTCCGCCCTGGCGCCGGAGAAGGACACCGCCCTCTGATGAGCCCCGGGGTTCAGCCTTATTGCGTCCGCGCGGGAGGGCTGGCAGCTGGCGCTTCCTCCTCTCGCCCTCACCTCTGCCCTGGGGCAATGATGTGTTCAGGACATGTGCTCTGAAGGAGACTGAAAGAAGAGGTGACCTGTTGGGGTGGGGTTAGGGGTGGAGGGGGTGAAGGTGGGGGGTGTCTAGCAATGCCTATCGAGTATTTTTTTCCCCCTAAAATAATTTCTTTTCTATCATTTGGAAGCCAAGGGTTGTCAGGCCCATTGTCAATGGACATTGGATGTTCTCTTTGGCATGCCGTGAATCTTTACACATTTATGGTCCAGTAAATTTCTTTATAGCCACAATTCCTTCATTTACTTGAATGTAATTTATATTATCTTTTACAAAAGCTTCCATTTATCTCTAACTACTTCCTTTCTACCCTCCTCCTAAATTTAGCCAACAGCCCATTCAGAAAGCAGGACAGCTTGCCCAGGCTGTCAGGACGCAAAGGCCCCTGGGGTTTACAAGGTGCAGTGAGAGGATTGTATTCACAATCTTGAGTTTATACAAATACTGATAGTGCTGTTACTAATGACAAAAATCACAATAGCTAAGAAATACTGGGCTTTTATTATATGCTAGTACAAAGCATGCTTTATGAACTAATTCCTTTCATCTTGACACCAATCATACCCATTTCACAGATAAGAGAATCTGGGGGTGGGGGGGGACAAGGATACTAAATAAAACCTCAGGTTCCATAAGGTCGAAAGTGGAAGCACCAGACTCCAAACCCAAATCATCTAGCTCCAGAGCCCAAATTCTTAACCAATATCCTGAAAGCAAAAATTATGCCAGGAAGGATAAACTTAACTTGGAAACAAGGCCATGGTGGAATGCAGAAGTAGGTTTATTAAGAGGCTAATCCAGGGTCCTTCATTTGCCAAGAATCCCCTCCCCCCAAGGCATTGGGTACCCTAGCAATGAACACATGGTTATATGTGTTGGCAAAATTATACTGAACACTTGAACTTTGCTAAGAGGGTAGATTTAGTGTGGTCCCACTATACATATGTAACAAAACATGAATTGATGGTGTTATTACCTTGACTGGGATATAAAAAAACACACATGTGGGCCCTCCCTGGTGGTGCAGTCGGTTAAAGCACAGCACTAAGAAGCTAAAGCCACTTCTGCATGAGTTCGATCCCCGCCTGCCCCGGAGGTGACCACATGGCGTGGCAGACCTCTCCTGACCCGCCCGCTGCTCCCCTCAGCAGTGTATTTCGTCAATCTTCCTGTTCTGCTCCCCTCTCTGTCTCTGGTGAAGCCTCTCGCTGCCCCTGAGCCTCTGGCCTGTACCCTAGTTCTGTATGCACAAATAAATAAATCTTAAAACAACAACAGCAACAAAACAAACAAACACACATGCATTGAGATATGTCTCAATATGTCTTGTATATTGTACACATATAGCCAGTGTATGCCAGTGTATATATAATATATATCTCGAGTCATTAAGGTGTATATCACTTATATATCTCAACCATGACTCAGTAAAACTGGAGGGAAAGGTATCTAACTAAAAATGTAGGAAGAAATAGCATTATCCTGGGGTAACAGGCAGTTTACTAAGCTTCTTACTGGTGGGTTATTTTGAAGCGTAAGGTGTGTGTCAATCTTTTAAGATTCATAATTGTTATGACCCATTTCTCATTTTAATTAAATATTTATTTTTGGACCTAATGTTCTATGTTTCAATTTTTGTTCTGTCTCTGCCAGAAGGATCCAAAGTCTGATAAGTTTCAGACCCTCCCCCCCTACACCTGCCCAGATGTTAGAAGTCTGTCCTGCAGCCCTGGCCATTTGCTGTACTCCCAATGTGAAGTGGCTCCTTGCATGTTTTGCTCCATCTTTGTAGATGCAGCTTTACCCCTGCAATCCACAACTAATTTGTCCCTTCTTTAAATGGATCTTGAGCAGGAACACAGGCCAGAGGGCCCAGGCTGCTCTGCATGGGGTCTCACGCTAGTCTAGAGCAAAGGGAAGCCCTGGAAGAGCACAGAGTGCACTGAGGAGGAGTCTCTGTGCCTGCAGTCATGTGGGGCAACAGCTGGTGACTGTTTCTATCGTTCATACATTTACAAACTATTTTACAACAATTTTGACTACTTTTTGCAAGAAGTCACATGAAAAACCCAATTGGTTTGCTATCTTCCAAGACTATATCACACCTTATCTCCCCCACATGTTTTCCATCAGGTCAACATAAACGATGCTATATCTTCATTCTCCCAGGGCTCTGGTAAATTTGGGGGAGTTCTGGCACTTTCCTGGGCACAGACTTGCTACCCTTAAGATCTGCCCCCTACATGGCCCTATATGGCCCAGCCCAGCCCAGCTGTGCACATCCCCTGCTCCACCCCAAGAGCCTCCTCTCCACCTTCCAGCACCCCACCCACCACCCCTCCATGGTGACCCAGAGACCCCGCTTTCTCAGCTCCGAAGCCCTACAGACTGAACAGAGCCGGCACCCCCACCTTGTTCATCTGATTCATTCCTGTTCATCACAGAGGTCT